TGTGCTGTCTGGGGAAGGGGGGGGGGGGCGGTCCCTTCTCTCCAACCAAAGCTCTCCTCACTGATCTCTGCAGTGTGTGACATCAGATCCCTGCTCTCTGCCTCTGGAAGCTGAGAACAGCTGTGTAAATTTGACACTTTTAATGTAGAGACGAATGTAGAGGAGAGTGGTGCAGATAAAACAGGTTCAGCTTATACAGGAGGATTTGTTCCATCTCTGTGTATAACCTGAGGCCAATCACTTCACTGGGTATATGTAAGGGTTTACAACCACTTTAAGTTGCATAGATCTGAACAGGTGCTATTGAAAACAATGGGCTGGGACTTAGACTTATCATGCAACTTTGGACACATAAAGCTGCATGCTAACTAGTGTAAATGGAGCCTTAGCCAGTGTGACACCTTTAATTTTTCAGTGCAGGTTTGAAACTGGTCGCTGTGAAGGAACACAGTTCTAATAAAAACACTTTGATAAATCAGGACCGGTTTAAAAATAACGAATAGGGTTTATGCTTTCGGTGATGACTAGTGGCTGTACTCCCAGATCCCTGCCATTTTACTAGATCAAACTAAGACATTAACAGTGATAAAACGATTTTGTTTTCTATCATTGGTATGTTGCTGTACTCCCTAAAAAGAACTTCCAAGTACTCAGAGCTCTGGGAAGCCCGAGCAAAGTTCAATGGCCACGAACTTCAGAAGTTTAGAGGGGAAGAACCTCACTTCAAAATATTATACAGGACAGAATGTTCAAGAAATAAAATAAATAAAATTCACCGCATTTGTCAGTTAATACAGACAAAGCAGTTATCCATGCTGATCCAGTGACATGGTGACTGAACAATCTAACCCGACATAAACAAAAGGCTGGTGAATATATGGGTAAAAGGCTATTTAAAAAAAACAGTGTTTTCAGAATCCAGTGTGAATGAGCTATTATTACTGGTAATGTGAACTGAAAATTAGACATGCCAAACTAATGTTTGACTGTGACTTTATTCACGCATCTTGTATATCATTTGAGCAGAAAATATTAAGCTTGACAGGAAGCTTCAGGGAAAGGAGAATATTATCACAAAATGGGAGGCTAGGACATCAATAATCACACACAATAGACCATTAATACACCATTACATCTGGCCGAGACAAGGATGTGAGTAGTTATCTCTAGTGGGCCAAGAAAAGCAAACCACTCCTGAAGCTGTGATAACATTTACTTATTTTAGCTAAATTAATGTATCAGTAACTTTATATATTATGCTGACACCCTAGGGTAGGCCAAAAATTCTTAATCAACAGCCATCTTTCAATTTGACTTGCCAATTCATTTACTGTATGTGTATAAGGATTTATGGCTCCAGAAAGTGCTTACACCAGAAAATTTAATTATTTGGGCATTATTCTAGTTTGTGATCAGATACTATTATATAAAAGTGAATCTGACCAGGTCTAAAATTACAATAATTTGTTATCATAAATTTATTGGCATTAAAGGATTCTCAACAAAATATTAAAAATGAACATTTTATTTATGATTATATTCAATTGTCCAATTACTTTTGATACCTTGAAAAAGGGGGGTGACTACATTTAATAGCTGCAATTCCTAAACCCTTCCTCCAATGTGGATGTACATACCCTCAAATTAAACCTGAAAGTGTGCACTTTCAGCCCAAATCCATTATAGAACTATAGCTTGAATATGTTTTTGGTAAATACCTGAAAAAAACTAAAATTGAGCCTGTGTCCAAATATACAGTTGTGTTCAAAATAATAGCAGTCAGACATCGCTAACCTGATCAATCACTGTTTTTGGTAGAAATGATATTTCTACATGGCAAATAATTTACTAGCAGGTGTAGTAGAGTAATAGAAATTTAACAGACCCAACAGTCATGACATGCATGCTGCTGATTCTGTGTAATTGAATCACTAATTGAAAGGGGCATGTTCAAAATAATAGCAGTGTGGAGTTCTATTAGTGAGGTCATTCATTCTTTGAAAAACAGGTGGCAATTATTGCTCTTATTTAAGGAAGGAAGGCAGCAAATGTACATTCTGGTTACAGTGCATTTCTCTCTACAATTCTGAGGAAAATGGGTCATTCCAGACATTGTTCAGAAGAACAGCGTACCTTGATTAAAAAGTTGATTGGAGAGGGGAAAACATATTTAAAAAAGTACAAAAAATGATAGGCTGCTCAGCTAAAATGATCGCAAATGCTTTTTAAAATGGCAACCAAAACCTGAAAGACGTGGAAGAAAGTGAAAAACTACCATTCGAATGGATAGAAGAATAGCCAAAATGGCAAGGACTCAGCCAACAATCAGCTCCAGGAAGATCAAAGAAGGTGTAAAGTTACCTGTGAGTACTGTTACAATTAGAAGACGCCTATGTGAAGCCAAGCTATCTGCAAGAAGCCCCCGCAAAGTCCCACTGTTGAAAAAAGACGTGCTGAAGAGGTTACAATTTGCCAAAGAGCACATTGACTGGCCTAAAGAGAAATGGCGCAACATTTTGTGGACTGATGAAAGTAAGATTGTTCTTTTTGGGTCTAGTGGCCGGAGACAGTTTGTCAGACGACCCCCAAACACTGAATTCAAGCCACAGTACACTGTGAAGACAGTGAAGCATGGTTGCGCAAGCATCATGATATGGGGATGTTTCTCATACTATGGTGTTGGGCCTATTTATCGCATACCAGGGATCATGGATCAGTTTGAATACATCAGAATACTTGAAGAGGTCATGCTGCCTTATGCTGAAGAGGAAATGCCCTTGAAATGGGTGTTCCAACAAGACAACGACCCCAAACACACCAGTAAACGTGGAACACCTTGGTTCCAGACCAACAAGATTGACGTTATGGAGTGGCCAGCCCAATCCCTGGATCTTAATCCAACAGAAAACTTGTGGGGTGACATCAAAAATGCAGTTTCTGAGGCAAAACCAAGAAATAGAGAAGAACTGTGGAATGTAGTCCAATCATCCTGGGCTGGAATACCTGTTCACAGGTGCCAGAAGTTGGTTGACTCCATGCAACACAGATGTACAGCAGTTCTCACAAACAGTGCTTATACAACTAAATATTAATTAAGTGATTCAAAGGAAAGCAAAATCTTCAAACATTTTTCAGTTTATATAGTGAATGTATGAGTTTGTAAAGAAGAATACAAACACTGCTATTTTTTTGAACAGTCTAATATTCACTTGTCTTCAATTTTGTTTTAGAGGAACAACACAAATTTGATATATTTTGCTTCATGTTTTGATTTGGAATAGAATGTGTAGTGTTCCCAATGCATTTGTGTGTATGGAAATAAAAGCTATTAGAAGGATTTTGAGCTTTATTTACTTTTTTCAACACACTGCTATTATTTTGAACACAACTGTATATGGACCTAACTGTATGTACTGTACTTCAATTTCATACTTTAAATGAGAACAAAAAAAAAAAACCCAAAGCATCCACTTTTTGTGGTACATTAGTTTTCTTTCTATCCTAAATCTTTACACTAACATACTACCCAAATGCTTACCTTAAAGTGAAAGTGCAATTACAAATGAAAGATTTCTAAAATGTGACCACTGCCCTACTTAACATGTACAATGAAAAAAAAAAAAAAAAATTATGAACTCATCACAACAAATGATGTTGCTCTCAGACACGCATAAGGCATTTGACATGCTATCATGGTCCTGTGTTTTGCTTTAGCCCAAGACTGGACTAGGCAACTCCTCTTTGAAATTGGGTGATACACTCTATAGCTCTCTGTCAGTGAAGGGTAAATATTTTGGATTCAGGTCCACCTTATTTTCTATGTGCTTGGGTACCCTTTATCACTTATACGTTTTATCTTAGCGCGCCAACCCCTGGCCGCCCATATCAGAACCAACACGAACAATAGAAGCATAGAACTTGCTAGCATTTCTCACAAAATTGTTTTTGCCGACAGCATCCAGCTTTAAATTACTTCCACTCATACTTCCCTCCAAAACCTGCTGTACCTTTAAAAGGGGTTTGCATCAAGCTCAGACCTCCACATCAACCAAAAACAAATGGACTTTCTTGAGGTTGTTCAACACTCCATACAAACTAATTTCCCTTTTCAATCGACACACCCCATTCCATACCTGGGTACTACAGTCACTGCATCTTGCCATTCCTTATTTAATGCTAACCTGCCCCCATTTATTAAATCTCTCAAGCACCTTCGGGATTCCTAGGATAAAAACTCGAATCTCATGGCTCGGCCACATACACATTATTACAATGTCTTTTCTCCTTAAACTACTATATCCCTTGAGAGTTGTAACTGATCCAATACATCACATATCCTTCATTCTCCACAATGTCCAAGCTTTAAATTTATCTAGGGGTCCATTAGAGCTAGATTGAACAGGCACCAACTGTACAAACACATATTCAGGGGAGTTTTGATATCCCTTATAACTGTGTGTATTATAAAGCAGCTTAATTCGCCCACTTGGTCCACTTACATTTGGGGTCTGATGCACCTTTATGGCCATTGATAGATGTACAGTACTAGATGTGGACCTCACGCTCTCTTCACTAATGTGGATTCCTCCTTCACATCGCCACAAACCCCTCAGCTACTCTATTGATACGGGACTTTGTTAAATATTAAGTGGGCCTGATCTCCCCACAGCCCCATTACTGCAGATTTTCAACTGCCTACTGTTCCCACCTGGACAAGAGCATAGCTAGCATTGGTGGAGATAGTGCATGAGGCATTGCCACAATACACTCACTACTTGACGCATGTGGAATTCGCACATTCTAACAACGCTTTGCTTAAAGTGGTACTAAACCCAGGACCCTGCATTCACTATGTCTGGTCTACCAAAGTACACAGAACATGCAAATGCAATTATTATTTCAGTAAATATAAATTGCTAAATACCTTTTCTCATTAGCAGTATATAGCAATCTTGTGACTTCTATCAGTGTCCAGCAGAGCACATGTTAAAGCTTGTAGCAGGAGTTTTCATTCTGCTCTAGGAGGATGCAGAACCCCGGATCTCTGTCTGGACAGTGTTGATTGGCCCTGTGCTGATCATATCCACTCTCCCAAGAAAGAAAAAAAAAATACCTCTAGCAATACACACCAAGCTGAGCATGTACAAAGTGACTCCACACGATATGTCTTATAAGGACATAAGAGGGGGACATTGGAAGAAGGGGAGCATCAAAGAAGTCAGGATCAACCAGCCCTTTTACACAAGGCAGAGGATTAACCCCTTAGGTTCCATATTGAAGTATGCTTTATTGCATATACAGACTGATTTACTGTTGTGGGTTTAGTAACACTTTAAATACAGGGATCATCTTTGACTGATGGCATTTGAGTCCAGATGAAAAGCTTGCCCAGCAACACGAGAAACGGTTTTCTTCACTATACTACTCCATTTTGGGTAATTCAGACATTAAAGTGGTTCTAAAGGCTCAACAAACGGGAGCAAACCTTCTTTGTGCAGCAGCCCCCCTAATACTTACCTGAGCCCCCTCTCGATCCAACGATGTCCACAAGAGCCTTGGCTCTTCGGGGACTCTCAATCCTCATTGGCTGAGGCAGCAGCAGGAGTCATTGGCTCCAGCTGCTGTCAATCACAGCCAGTGAGCCAATCAAGAGAGGGAGAGACGGGGCTGCGGCTTTGTGTGTGAATAGAAACGCAGAACCGCGGCTGGTGAGTGCGCCTGCTTGGGTGCCCACAGAGCAATCTGCTTGCTCTAGAGGCACTCAGCAGGAGGGAGGGGCCAGAAGCACTAGTGGGGGACCTGGAGGATCTGGGCTTCTTTGTGCAAAACCACTGCACAAAGCAGGTAAGTACAACGTTTGTTATTTAAAAAAAAAAAAAAAAAGTTTAATATCACTTAACTGAAACCCATTCCCCCCAAAATTGGACCAAAATCTGGATAGCTCTATTTAAAAGCTCCCACAATGTATTAGCCCTTGAAAACTGTGTGAGATGAAGCATATTTGGTGGACATGCCATAATGTGAATACGCCCTTGGATCTGCATTTATGCAAAGAAAAATTAGATTCTCCAACTTGAACTATGTAAAAACCCCTGAGAAGCCCTCTTGCACAAACCTACTGCTGATGTTCTGCATCACAAATGCATGCTAATTTTGTATATATTTTATGTGACAAAACAAGTAATTGCCCAGATATGGAAATCACCCACCTTTAACTTTATTGAAGTTAAAAGTTGTATACAAACCATGTTCAATGAAAAACTGACAGCTAAGTTACTTGGTACACATGTAATATTCATAAAAATCTCTCAACCATAACTTGATTATTTTCCACCCACTCAATCCACTATAAGCCTATTGGACTTATGAAATGGACCTACATCTACCTATTACAGCTTATTAGGATGGCCTCTGGGGTATTCTGTCCCTTCCCCTCAATTGACCCCCCTTCTGTTCCTCTCACTTCCCCCTCTGCCCTTTACTCTTCCTTCTTTATTCTCTTAAAATGTGTTCTAACGTCTTCACTACTGTAGAAGAATGGGATCCCGTTTTCTTCTTGGCCCATTCCTTCTTGAGTAGCATCACACTATAGTCTTCTCACAACATGAGATAATGCTACTGCTGTTGCCTATTGACATCTATCCTTTTGGCACAGCTGGGCCTTTGGGACATCCCCATGTAAAATGACTTCATTTAAAATTTAAATTCACAGCTAGAATGCTGATGTCACACTCTTCACCTATTAGAACCCTGCTCTTTTTCTTTTGATTTGTGTCTTTTGCTATGTGAAAACTCCTATTGAGAAGTATTATCCTGCTTAAGTTGAAACTGTACTGCCAAAGTTAATGTATACATCTTCTGTACCTGCCTGCATTACTCACTCTGAACTTGTAAAACTTCAATAAAAAGTGAAGAGCTCATTAACCACTTCCCGTCCGGCCCATGTACATAAACGGCCGGACGAGAGCAGTGCAGGAGCAAGTTGTCGTTCATAAACGGCGCCCGCATTTTCAGCCTGTGCACGCTCCCTGGGAGCGCGCAGCACCGCGATCCTGTGCCTGCTGTGTCCGGAGGACACAGTGGAACACCGATCGCTGTACGGGACCCTCTGTGTGAGGTCCTGATCATGTGATCACTGATTGGCCAGTCAGTGATCACATGAATAGTAGTAAGCAAGATGTCACTTCTGACATCATTGCTTACTACTTGTGAAATCTGTGAATGATCATGGAGATCACATGGTACAAGGCTATTCACAACAGCCTTCTAGCATGTGACAAGCTGTGACCAATCACAGCTCTCACAGTATTTCTCAATGGCTGCAAGAATGCAGCCAGAGAGGAGAAATAATTGCTTTTACAGCCTTTATGGGTGTAAAAGCAATCAGTGTAAAAAAAAAAAAAAATCTTCATCACCCCCCACAAGTAGTACAGTGTCACTATGATGACACTGTACTGCTACGGTGACAGTATGTTAAAAAAAACAAAATAAATAAAAAAAAAAAAAAAAAATGTAAAAAAAAATATGTTTTAAAATTATAATTTTTGGTTATAAACTAATTTTGGTTATTTTCTTTTACTAAAAAGATAACCGAATAAATGTTGGCCAAGATTTATGAAGAAAGATTATTTATTTGCAAAATTTTATAAGAAAAACACTTTTTAAAAATTTGTGGACTTTTTTATTTATATAGCAAAAAAAAATGCCAGTGGTGAAGAAATATCACCAAATTAAAGTATTATCTGTCTCAAAAAAATGCTAAAAAATTCATATGGGTACAGTGTTGCATGACAGCGCAATTGTCATTCAAAGTGCGATAGCACTGAAAACTGAAAATTGGCCTGGACAGGAAGGGGGTAAAGGTGTCTGGACTGGAAGTGGTTAATCAGATCAGAACAAGGATTATTGCTCCTTTGCTGGTGAGTTGCACAGACTTCTGTGGGCTGCCTATACATTAGTGCCTGATTAAATACAGTGTTATTCATTTTAAGTGTTTGCGGAGGGGGGATATGTTTGATGTGTAGTTTCAGTTTCACCTTAAAGTATGCATAAACACCAAATCAGAATGTAATATAATAAAGCCTACTGGTCCTTCTTTGTGGTGGCTGCATTAGCTTTCTTTGTTAAGGTTAAGTACACTTTCTGCAAGGACAAAAAAAAAAAAAATACATGTTGGCCCTGCTTGAAATACATTATCCTTGCAGCTTCTTGTGCACTGAACTGAAAACTCAACCACTGTTTTAGCTGACCCCGTTCTCTTCTCTGAACTAGAGAATACCTCCCCTATGGTGTGACGATGAGGCGAGGGGGAGGTATTTGTAGCTCAAATCAGCAGCGTAGTAACAATGTGCTTCTCCATGCATACAGTGCAGTGAGTGAGTGTTGTCACCCTATGACCTTAGGAAACTATGTTACTGGCAAGATCAGACAGGAACATTTAAGGACTGGTAAGCTGCAATATATATGCAATAGGTTAAGCTTGAACCCAAACCCTTGACTCCAAAACTTACCGTATCACAATGCTTAAAGCGAATTTAACTCATGCAGCTGCACATTTACCCTATCAGGTATTTGAAGCATCATTTCCATACTGAGACCTACCAGCACATTCCTGGTGATGAAATTTCATAATTTATACTTTCTGCACAGATACGCACAGAATTTATCTACAGCTAGGTAACCAGAAATACAAGTTTTTTCTTTCTTTTCTTTTTTTTTTTTGCTATCACCAATGTCAAAACAATGCATTACTCCCTCTCTGCCACCACAATAGTGGAACGGAACTCAAAAAGTGAAGCTTTGCTATGTTATAGGGACATTTTCTGTTTAAAGTATATCTAAACGCCAAACTTTAAGATTTTGGACATAGCAGGGGATGGTTAAAATTTTCATATTTTTGTTATCTGTGCCTCATCAGGGAGATCTCAAAATCTAAAAAGAAAATGTTGCCTATAGTTATTTCTTTAACCTTGCCCAGGCTTGAATTGAACAAATTAACTTTTTGTCCTAAAATTCTTCTGGATAAGTAGCAGTGCCCTTACTGGTATGTAAGGGGGGCAAAGCTTGATAGCTGTATATCAACAGGATGAGCTTTAAGGCACTACTGCCTTCGACTGTTAGTCTCTCCACAGAGGGGCTCAGAGCAGAACAAAGCTTGGTAAGACAGTAAGGGGGAGACTGATCTGCAAGGAGACTACAGACAATATTAATAAATAGTCCTTCATGAGATCAGTTCCTCTTTGAAGGTTATCATTATCATCCTCTGCATCATTAACATTACTATTATGAAAATACACATACAATTCTTCCGCTACTGTTCTTTACTGGAAAAATGGCAAAGTGGATGTGCAAATAGAATTCAAGCTTCTGAGCCAAGGGGTCATTGCTGCGAGTTTCTGTAGGTACATGCTCTTCCCACTTCACAAAAAAAGTTTTCCTGTCTCCATCTTCAAAAGCACTGAGGAGATCTTTCTGCAAGATATGGCAATAAATCAGGCGAGATGAAAAAGGTAATATTAGACCCCAAACATATCATCATGAATCAGCACATTATTCATTTATGCAAAAACATAGCATACACAGTTTTAAGGAGACTGCAAAACATAAATAAATAATTAACTAAGTAAATAAAATAAAGAGATGCTTTCCACCTGAGATATACAGTATAATCCATGACCAAAAAAAGTTTATTTATTTATATATGCCCATTAAGCACTACATTGGACCAGCTTTGGCCCTAATAACTGCCATAGCACCTATCCAAGCAGGGGCTCCACACATGTCCTGTAGTGTCCTTACATTTAAGCAAACCAAAAAGACATCAGCACTTAATGCAATTGCCAAGGAGGAACTGGAACGTCAGAACAGACAATATAATTCAAGTGGCCAACAGTCCAATATTGATGTTCCTTGTCCCACTACAAATATTTTTGACTGTTGACCATTGACAGAAGAGGACCCCTGCTTGGTCATACACTATTTTACACACCATAAAGCCGGGCAACACATTGTGCATTTTAGTGTTAGTCATTATATCCCAAAACCTGCTTCTGGTAACGATTAAACGTTACACGTTAGACTAACTGATTTGTTGTTATGAATCAAGCCCTCCGATTGGCATGTTTCTCCACCAAAGGCTGTCTCTCAAAAAGCAGATATGTTCATGAAGTATCCTTGTAATCTGGTTCATCCTTTGGAAAATGTTAAATTTATGAATGTCATTTGGACCCCCTCGTAATATTACTTAAAATTAGAGATTCATAATGCCTGTGCAGAAAAGGAAATGTCACTTTTTATCATTATTTCTGACCTGCATACTTGTTATAGGTCACTTA